ACTGAATCTCAAGGTATGATGCTGCTCAATTTCCGCCATGAACAAACCAATAGCCCTAAACACGAAGCTCTACGCTCTACTTCGAGCTGTACATCTCCAATCCCTGACCTGAGACCTTGAGCCCAGGCACACCGGAGCAAGGATCTCTAAAACCGTCATGGTCGTAGTCCTTTACCAGACTGAGAGGTGCGTCTAGGGTTTGGGCTTCAGGTCCTATATGGGACTTGTGGTTTTGGCTTTGCAGTAGGGTACTGTCAGGGATCCTACGCTTGTGTGAGGAGTTTGGGTCGGTCCTCAAGATCTTGCAAAGGCCATTCGGAAATATTCCCTGACAACGAGGGTTCTCGTCAACCTTTTGCTCTAGGTGCCAACCGCTTGTCATGGTTTGGGAGCCAAAAACAGTCAGAAAAGAAAGAAGTGTAACAACTTGAACTGAATCGTCTTGCTTTGGCATGGGATGATGCTCAGGCGCAAGCCTGTTTCGCGGGAGCTGACTGATTCCGATTGATTTCGAATCCTTATATTGCCTGAATGGGTTTAGGAGGGTTTAAAGGCTTTGGAGGGTTCAGAGTTTAGGGTTCGTTTGTTGAAGTTTCCACAGTCCTACCCGAAGGAAGGAAAAACAGTTACTAGTTCATGAGATTTCTTTGCTCCAGCCTAAGCCCCATATGAAGGATGGCCACAATCTCTGTGCAGGGACACATCACCCTAAACCCTCGACAATAAGCCCTACAAGCCCTAAAGATGCTGATTCCTTGGGAAAGCCTGGGCGAGTCTGTTGGGGTTTTCGGTGCCATTTTGGATCAGGTATTGTGGGCAACTGCAATATGACGTCGAGCTCTTCGAGTATTCTATGTGAATATGTTAATCATTCAGAAGTTTTGGCTGAAGCTAGCATTGCGAATCCCCCGCAGGATGCAAATTAAGGCCTGCGGCTCTCAAGCTCAGACCCATAAACCCAAGAGACGTAATGCCCACAGACCAGAGACCAAGAGCACTGACCCCTTGTAGCTTTCACAACCTAACCTGTGAACTGGCATCCAGATGCCTGGTGGTTGTGGAGAAGTAACTTGCCATGGAGTTGACACCGTCCTTAGTTTAGGGTTTAGGGATGTGTAGGGCTTGCGTATTACAGCGCAGGGCGCAGTGGCCGACAAGCAAGGTAAATAGGTACAAGCAATAATAGTATTCAGTCAATGCTTCGGTTTTGGTTTTTGTCACGCATGGTTCAGGCATCTGAGTTACTTTTCCTGGCAAGCCCTAGGACCTAGGAAAAGCCTCTAAAGCAGGGAACCTGACGACAAGGGACTTGGGCTCCATGTTTCACGGCCAGATTTCTGAGGTTCTGTGCGGAGTTTGCAGCACGGGCTTCTGCCTCCATGCGTGTGTGTGTGTGCCTCTGGATTTTCAGCGAGAAGTTGGGGAGCGTCTCAACAATCGCCATTGCCGTTCGCTGGGGGCAGTGGTGGGACTCAAGGACTCCATGTCTGTTTTGCTGCTTGCATCCCAGGTATACGGCTGTCGTAGTATGGCAAAGGGTGTCATCCCTAAACACGAAACTTCCAGCTAGCAAATGCCAAGCTGATATTTCTTAACACGGTGCCAGAAGCCTGGTTTAGTCCACTGGGGGGAGGGTTCAGAAAGCATATGAAGGGCCTGAAGGGTAAGGAGTTTAGATTTGGCAGGGGATGTGTGGAGTGTCTGGAGGTTAAGGGTAAACACCTGAAGAACTGCTAATAGAACTGTCTGCTTGTGACCCTTTCATGTACTTGCGCAACCATTTACGCGGGAACCCTGGTTACTTTGGCCCAGCTGTAGAATTGAGGATAAATCAAAAGCCCAAGCAACCTGCCCCCTGCTTGTCCTGTGCAAATTGAACACCATGCGAAGTGTCTATATGAGGCTTGGCACTTTCGTGTTGTTGTATTTGACCCGAGACACACTGATGGAAGTTGTAACGGCAGTGCCTCAAAATCATAAAGCCTTGGGTCTGTCTTATGAATGCCTACACTGTAAAGACATACATATATGAGGCTGGATCCAAATTTTGCAAGATGCCATTATGCAACCCTTGGGAAAGGAATCTTGATTCTGCACGGGATCCCTTGATGCCCTATTTTGAAGTTGAACCAGCTTGGACCAGAGTTGCTATAGCCGCATCCATCGTCTGGAGCATGGTTCTCACATCCTGCAATCTGCTGTCTGAAAATGGGGGCGGAGGTCTACCAAACTTGCCGAGAACAACACAGAACAACAGCCGACGCCGATGCCGATGCCGATGCCGACGCCGACACCGACACCGACACCGACCACTACCACCACCGCCACCACCACCCCGCCACCCCGCCACGCCGCCACCCCGCCACCCCGCCACCCCGCCACCCCGCCACCCCGCCACCCCGCCACCCCGCCACCGCCACCGCCCCCGCCACCACCGCCATCACCACCACCACCGCCGCCACCGCCACCGCCACCACCACCGCCACCGCCACCGCCACCACGACCACGACCACGACCACAACCACCCACGACCACGACCACGACCACCGCCACCACCCACCACCGCCACCGCCACCGCCA